CTGTGTTTGTTTTGCTGTGTCCTTCTTTTGTTTATCTTGTTTGGCTTGGATGTGTTTGTGGCTGTTTGTTATTATCAGGAATGTGTGTGTGTGTGTGTGTGTGTGTGTGTGTGAACTGGTGTATGAAAAGAGAGATGACCAAAATCCCAGAGTGACAGACAGCGATAGGAAACGACGAGGGGGAGCTGCAGTGTGTGTTTTTGTGTTTGTGAGGAAATTAGATAACAAAAGCAGAAGAAGAAAACAGGGGAGTGTGTTTGTGCCCGTGTGGAGGTGTGTGCGCGTCCCTCTGATGGAGAGGGACCGAGCCAGGCGCTGCATGGGGGAGATACGTGTGTGTCACTGATTGTGCCATGAATGAAAATAAGGAGGGAGGGGGGAGGAGGGGGGGTGACTCTCCTCCCATTCAGCCATCTCCTCCTCTCTCTCCCCTCTCTCTCCTCCTCCTCCTCCTCCTCCTGACTGACAGATGAGGAGCTGCTCTGCTCAGGCGCGCGTCAGTAATTAGCATCCTCTCATCTTGTTTTCGTCTCTCGCCTCCATCTCGGTCATTTCTGTTCCTCCTTCATCCGCTTCTTCACAGCGTCCTCTTCCTCCTCCTCTTCTTCCTCCTCTGCTTCCTCCTCTTCCTCTTCCTCTGTGCACGTTCCGCGTTGTGCAATTACGGCCCGTGATCGCTCCTGGCACGCAGACGCGCACACTCGCGGACAGATGAGCAGAAGCGCGCACGAGCCCTCGGCTGCCGTTTCACACGCTCATAAACAAAATTCGCGAGCGCGCGCACTCATTTGCAGTCAGTCAGTCAGTCAGTCAGTCAGTCGCGAGCACACGAGCTGTGCACGCGCGCAGCGGTTCAAGGGCGATTGATTTGGAGTTTAATTTCTCTCCCGGCGCTCTTGACGCAAAAGGATGCGCCTCCGTCTGACCTTGAAGACAGACGAGGGGGGAGTTGAGTCTCTGTCGCCAGGCTCAGCCGCTAGGGACGCGCGCGCGCGCGCACGCACAGCATCGTCACCTGGAAATGTCAAAACCTTCCATGTGCCGTAATAAATGAACGCTTTCCATCTGCCTTCTAATTATAGCCATCATGAGGCTACTCCTAATTTTAGCTGCAGCCGCGAAACAGTTTAATAATTCACGAGTTGAGACACGGAGCTGCTCCTGCTGCTGCTCAGCCGACTGAAAAACAAGCGGACAGGCCTGATGTTGTCTCCTCAGCCCTGACAGTCGGGCTGAAGTCGGTAAACCGTCAGTTACGGGACAGCAGCAGCGATCAGACGGAGCCCGAGGCGGGGAGACGCTCCGGACGCCCCGGCCTCCAGCTCGCTGCCTGTTCGGCCTGATGGTTCCCCTGAAAGCAGGAAACCGCACCAGGCGTTTCTGAGCGATGTGTTTATGAGTATTGGAGATCAGTGGCAGCAGATGCGCGGAGCCAAGCGTGTACGTGATCGCGCCCGTGTGCCTAAATCATTTTGGCGCAGCTCTGCTCCCCGGGATGCGTTTGTTTTGATCAATGCGGATCTGAGTGGAGCGTGATTTTGCCTACAGCGCCGACATCAGTCGAGACGGACAGGGGTTAAAAACGACAGGCTTTGAAGACGCGCTTTGAAAGCTGCTCTCATCTCAGCTCCACGCACACGCACCGGGCTGTGTGTGTGAGGCGTGGAGTTTGTCCACGAGGTGTGGTTTCCACTCAGATGAAGGAAGACAACAACCACAATGTTCATGTCTCACACAGATGTCTCGTTTTCCTGATTTCACAGAGACATGCTCAGGATGCTCATTAACGCCTTTAATCTTCCTGTCAGTAGTTTAAGAAGTTTGTTTTTCAGGAGCCTGAGCTGCTGATTCAGGTTCAGTGCTGGGGGAGCAGGGGGGTGTGAGGGTCAGGGTCGTGGAGGACTCAAACCACCTCGGATCAATGGGAAGCAGGACAGGAAGGGGGTTGCTCTCTGTTGCCATAGAGACGGGAGGACAGTGGTGTTGGATACTGTTGCTAGGCAGGAGAGGCTGCCTCTGAATGAGGTGAGAGGATGTGGGGTGGTCTGCTGTGGTGGGTGGGTGGGTGGGCAACATCAGGGCTGAGTGGGAGCGATCCGGAACCGGTTCCGTCTTCCTGCTCGGTCACATTTTACAATAGATGGAACAGAATCACAAACTACAAATGCATGCCATGGTACAAACATTTAAACTATGAATACGTCTTCTAACACATAATTCAAAACTTTCACCGCCTTGTGTTTTTCAGATACATCAATAACAGGCAGTCAGAGCTGAAGGTGCAGTGCGCTGCCTAGTGGCAAAGATGTGAAGTGCAACAACACGGAAGACTGATGTTACACTCACAAGCTTGCGTTATTTATTCCTAATTACATCTTTTTCTCTCCTAATACCTGTTTTTCTTTTCCTTTCTCACATCTGTGTGTGGTACTACAGCATCACCGGGACGTCCGGTTCGCTGCTTCGTGTCTTTCAGGCTAAAACGTCATAAAAACAAGTCCAGATATTAATTAGAACAGCAAAAAAAAAAAAAAAAAAGCATCATTCACTCCTCCTGCCTGGACTCAGGACCAGCATATGACGGCGTCATCTCTCAGACATACATGTAAACAACTCACACATGACCACGAGCCTCGAGCGCCACCTGGTGACCGCAGATCGCTTTTCCTGAGGTGGTCTAGATAAACTGTGCTCTAGCGCCATCTCCTGGAGGATAATCATTCTGCTTTCACATCACTGTGAAGCAGCATGAAATAATGATTGCAGTGTTTTAAACAAAAGTTAGTCACGTGGAAGCAGCTCTGCTCCAACAAACAGCTCATTTCTAAACCAGCTTTGCTGTTGGTGCCAATCTGATCTCAGAATAGAAGAAACCTGGCAGCTACCAGAATGTTCTAACACCGCCTCCGTCACCGGAACCGGACATCCAGGATCCAGAGAAACACCACGGAGCTGTCCGTGGTCCTGACCCGGGTTCTGTATCAGTAGTATCGGTTCAGCACCACGGACAGCGCCTCCGTGTTGGGCTGCGATCAGGGTCTAGCACCAGGGACAGCTCCGCCAGGCTCCAGGCGGTTTGATTAAAATGGATTGATTTATTGTGTCACATTTTTAACTCGCTGTGGGCTCATTTTTATTTATTTTATTTTGTTTTATTTTTATATATATGAAGTCGTGCACCTCTATCGAAACAGTGCAACCATAACCAGAAGCAGGGCCAAATCAAAAGTCCATTTTGTGCACTGATACGAAGTTATGATGCAAAATCACCGTAAAAATCCCATAAAATCAAAGAAAAACAGGCAAAACGTCTTTGCTATGTAACATGTTGTTACCAACATGTGATAAATACAACTTACATTTTACATCCTCCTTTCGTTTCTGCTCCACGTAAACACATCCTGCAGTTCATCCCAGGAAAACTTCCTCAAATGTTGTCACGTGACTGCTGGTCAGCTGACTTATGAACGGCTTCTGGTTGCAGCCACGAGCTCAGGATTGAACAGAACCTGGTTACTGTTAACAGGCTTTTTTTTTTATTTTTTTTTTTTTTTTTTTTTTAAAAAAGGTTATTCTTGGATTAAAAAAAAAAAGAAATACATTTTTAATGAGGAGTGTATAATAAACAGATTTTAATAAAATATCCCGATTTTTAGCTCAAATTTGGTTATTTACCCAACAAAACTGAAAATCACACATCATTAGGTCAGGGACTGTTTAAAAGTTCAGGTTTAGTTTTCTTGAGAATTTTATGCAGCCACATGCAATTTTAAGTCGTAGCTGGAGGCACTTGATTTATTTATTTTTTATTCTTAAACTTGTGACATCAAATTATGTGATGTTCAGGGTTTATCTGGACAAAGCGTTCCGTTGTACTTGTTTTGTTGCACATTACTATTTGCACAACACCCCACACAGGACTTTTCTACTTGACATATTACACTTATTGTAAATTTTGCATTTTCAATTTTCTTATTGTTTATTTTTGTCTTTGTATTGGTATTTATGGTGGTGGTAACCATCTTTGTGCTGTAACAACCAAATTTCCCTTTGGGGATTAATAATGTATTTCTATCTATCTATCTATCTATCTATCTATCTATCTATCTATCTATCTATCTATCTATCTATCTATCTATCTATCTATCTATCTATCTATCCATCTATCTATCCATCTATCCATCTATCTATCCATCTATCTATCTATCTATCTATCTTTTCCTGGGCAGGTCTGACAGTGTGACGGGGGGCACTGTCCTGCTGGGGGGAGGCAGATACGTACGACAGGAATGTTTAAGTGGGTGGTACCTGTCAAATCATGAATACCAGGACACTGCTCGCTGCTGCAGGCATCTGGGTCACTCCCTTCACCTGTCAGTGGTTTTAATGAGGCGGCTGAACAGAAAGTGCAGGTATGTAGTGATCATGTGTTGTTTATCACTGAATTTTCTCATCTTGTGATATCAGAGTGAAGGCAACGCAAAAGGGGATTCGAAGATAATTCAATAGTGAAAAAAAGAAGAAAAAAATGTAATTATTTTAATACTGTAATGACAAATAAACACCAGAACATACAGGTTGGACTCACCTTGAATGGTTAGCAGGAGTTTCAGAGCTGTCCCCGTCTTCACCTGCAGACCCGTAGCATCTGAGAAACAGGCCATTTAGAACTGCAGCAGCTCACATATATTTTTATACACACAGTCTGATAGAGCCTCCTAACTTTCAGCCTGAGCTCTGTGGTTTTGCCGTGTGTGCAGGCTGCATGCGGTGCACAGCTCTCGGGCTCGGCGTGTGTGATTGAAGCTGCCTACGCGTGGCTCAGCAAGTTAAAGGGTCGCGATGAAGGCTGAGTTCTCTCATGTGATATTCTGGGTTTTAGAGAACGCTCAATAAAGCCAAACCTTTATTTGCAGAGCACCGCTGATCCTCACGTGCCCCTCGTCGCCGCTCTAACGAGCTGCACATCCACTCACACATGGCAGCCACCTACACACAGATTTGTCCTCACCCTTGTTTTATTGCACACTTTAATCATTTAGTAAACAGATCTTCACAGTAACAATGCAAGAGCAGAAAACAGAAGCGAATCACTGTGCAGTGCAGCTCGACAGGTCTTCAAAGTATTTATAGGTATTTACAGTGGAAATATGAAAATCGAGGAGCAGTGCCGGTGGTGATCCCTGTGGTTGGATGAGGCGTGTGAACCCCTGATGTCACCCTCAAGCTTCTTCTCAGGCTGTCTGTAGCTCTGTGAATCCTGTCCATACTGCCAACCCAAAAACATTCAAGTACTGTATTTCTGTCATTGCACAGGTACTGGGTCAGCCAGTACACAGGACTCTGAGGAGGAAACATTGCACTGGCACCACTTCAACAACACCATGTTCAAAATCAAACAGCTCTGTTGTTTTTCTATCATCTGAACATAAAACAACACCCAAAGGAATGCCAATTTAAACAGTCTCCAAATACTAAATCACCCAAAGTCTCTAAAATATAAAGCAACACGAAGCAGAACCAGAACTCAAAACGTATGAAACCATTTTCATTCTTTGTGACGCACCAATAAATAGTAATTTGGAATCTCATAAAATGAAACAACACACAAACTGTGAAATGATGTTAAATTCAGTTTCAGGTTCCTGGATGTTGGTCTGTGAACACGAAGCAGCACATCAGCGGCCTCCAGTCTTCACATCTAGAAGGTTTTTGGTTTGCAGAACGTTGTTTTAGTGTTGTTCTGTCTTGTAGTGAAGCTAAACTTTCAGGGAAGGCGGCGGTCATAGAAACAGAGATACAAAGCTGAAATAAGGCAAAGTGAAGGAACTGTTTGAACTACAGTGTGAAATACTTGCACTCGCTCTGTAGAAGTACGTAAGAACGTTTTCCATCGGCCTGTTCGGAGTCTGTGCCAAGACTGAAAGCTTATAAAGATCGATTATAAAGAGAACACACTGTGTGGAGGCAGCCGGATTCAGACTTCATCTTTGAAACATTCGATGAAAACACTGAATAAAGGAAGCGTCTCCTTCCTCTGCCGTGATAAAGCTTATTGTCTGAGCTGACGCTGCCCAGTCAGCGAAAGTTTGTTGATTTGGTTAATATAACAAAACACACGGTGGCCTCCGGAACAAACAGGACAAAACCAGAACACAGCGGCGGTTCCTTTATGTCGTATACAACAAAAATACATCTGTATCTAACAAGTACAAAGCCTCAGAGTGGCAGTCTGTCTGTGGCGGCTGTGGACAGCTTCTCACACTTCAAAGCAGCTTCCGTTGAGGCAATGATGGCAAGTCTCGGAATTCACTGAATTCAGCTTGATATCAGAAGTGGGATTGTTCATGTTTTGGTGTAATCCCATTGGCTGAGCGTCCACAGACGTGGTCCATTGGCTGCAGGTGGAGCCTCACTACCTGTGGCCCGGGCCCCTGTGGGTGGCCGTGTCCCCGACCAGATCCTCCTCCACCACGTTGACGTAGCCTTCTTTCTCTATGCAGCCCGACACCACCTGCAGCACCAGCCGGAGCCGGCGGTCCATGGCCCGCAGGTGAGGCTGGATGAGGACGGGCGACAGGCGGTCACGCAGCAGAGACTCCTCCATCAGAGAGCTCAGCTGGAGCTCCTCTTTGGCCAGCAGCTGGAGACGCAGGTAGGTCGACTTCCTCAACCTGGAAACAGCAGACCAGCGAATCATTCACTTGAGAGAGACCACGGGGTCCATTTACTCAAGTACTACATTAAGTATGATTAAATTATTTAAATTGTACTTCAGTATTTCCATTCTATGCCTCGTTATACGTCCACTGCCCTGTATTATTATCATTATTATTATTATTATTATTATTATTATTATTATGATCTAGACGACATTTCAGACACATTGTTCCAGATTAAACCAGTGCTCTCCAATCTTCTGATGTAAAAAAAAAAAAAGCAGCGTGAATGTAAATGAGCTGTCAGCAGTCTGTTCAAATGATCCGATATCTCACCAAAAACTAAAGATCTGAGAGACAGGTTTGTGAATCAGAACTTAGTTTTCATCTGCTGTCTCTGTGTCTAAAGTCTTCAACCAGCTCCACCTGCAGCAGCTGCAACAGTCGCATGCTGCCGACACGTTCATGCTTCAGTATTAATAATATAATCATCCATCCATCATCTCTACACCTTAATCCTCACTATGGGGGGTGGAGTCTATCCCAGCTGACTCAGGGTGAAGGCAGGTTCACCTGGACAGGTAACCAGTCTATCACAGGGCTACACTTAGAGACAGACAACCAAGCACACTCACATTCACACCTACGGACAATTTACAATCACCAATTAACCTCAGCATGTTTCTGGACTGTGGGAGGAAGCCGGAGAACCCGGAGAGAACCCACGCTGCACGGGGAGAACATGGAGACTCCACGCAGGAAGATCCCGGGTGTCCTCACCGGGACGCCAACCGGCGACCTTCTAGCTGTGAGGAGCTAACGGTGCTAACCACCGAGACACCTGGCAGCTCCTTGTACTTCAATGCTTTCACTAAAATGTTTGTGCACTTTTACTTCAGCAGGATTTTTCATGCATTGAAATGAAGTATTTTTACATTTCTGTTCTGGTACTTTCAATTTAAAAAAGAAGCAATCAATGTCATAGCAATAATTCTATCAGTGAAGTTGTAGAGCTGGACCTTTAAGTCTTGCACATTTTGTGTTGATCTCCAGCGTCTGTTTTTCATGAACCAGAGACCTTCTGGTGGCTGCACAGAGCAGCTCATCATCAACACATCTCAGAGGTGGAGACGTTTTCCTCCGGGCTACGAGGTCTGAAGAGCTGATCGAGCTGCTTTTAGCCCAGAAACTAGTAGCAGAAGGAAACAGAAAAACTCTGACCTGCAGCACTGGCTGAGAGGCACGAGGATGGACAGCTCGTCGTGGGAGTGTTTTCCAAACCTGGAAAGTGGAGATAAAGACCAGAAGATGAATTATCTCAAAACTCTCCAGCGAGCAGATAGATGGTGGTTATCTATTCTAAATACCAGATATGTGATACTAGCACTGAGGCGGTAGTTTTACTGCTGTGAGTGGATCAAACGTTTACCCTCTGCCGTTGTCCAGGTGAATGATGAACGTGTCATTTCCAAACTTCTCAAAAGTTTCGTAATGATGCCGGTCCATGTTACCTGTACGAAGAAAATGGAAAATAGTGAGAAAGCACAATTTAGACTCCAGACAATTCAGTTCATTAACTAATAATCAGAGTTACTGTTGTTACGTTATATTTATGTGCCTTGATTCTCGTCTCACCCATGAGGAAGTCAAAGATGGTCATGTCCATGACGTCCAGCAGTCGAGTCCCGCGGTCGTACGGAGGAGTCTGCTTCACCTCATCGCAGTAGTCCGGATCCACCTCCCACCTGAAAACACGTGTTGATGAAATGACTCCACAGTTAGTCGGAGAGTTGTGTTAACACGAAGCATGTCGGTGCTGAATGTGCTGTGTTCGTACTCGGCTTTCTTGCGTTTGTGGTAGGAGCGTCTCCAGGGGTTCCTCCAGGTTTTGCGTTTGGCCAGGTTCAGGTCTGGCAGGAAGGCCGCCAGCGAGCCTTCTATCTGGTCCGGTTTACCGCACAGAGCGTGCTCAGTGGAGCAGTAGTAGGAGCACTCGCCGTAGAAGCAGACGTTATTCGCTGACAGGAGAAGAGTGAAGACCACGACTTAGAAAAGCCATCAGAGAGCAAGAGCTTGAATTCAGAACACATGCGACTATCAGAACTTTCAGGAGAATATTATCTGTAAAAGTCATATGAAATAATTAAGTGACACCAGACTTTGTAAAAGATGTTATTATTCAAACTATCCTGCACTTTCAGGTTTTGAAAACTCTTTATAGACCGATGGCATAAAAAAAAACAAAAAAAACAACGACTTTCAGCTTCTTTTAAATCCAAGACGTCACTGCTCCATCAGCACAACCTGATGTGGAAACTCTCAAACTCTTCATCATCTTTCCACTGTGAAAAACAGTCTGTGCTACGTGCAAAATAAAACCAACAAACAAACAAAAAACCTCATTTTTAAAATCATTTTCACATGTTTTGTGCAGCTTCTCTGGGAGCATCGTTGTTCGTATCTCAGTAAAACAGCTGCTAAACAGTCGATCTAATGTTCAGTAAAGTTGTGTTTCTAGAGTTTGTGAAGCTCTCTGTGGAACCCAGACGACTTCCTGTCAGTGACAAATCCTCCGTTTAACAGTTTACATTCACTGCAGGAAAGATTTCACGTCTTCTCTGAACGAACACTCTATTGTGTATTTCTGTCGTATCATCAGCTCTGGTACATTTGGATGATTTTATACATCTCTACACTGGATGTTAACATTTTATATTTCTGTTTTTTAAACCTACTCGTTTGATGCTCAGCTTATGTGTACATGCAGTAGGAACCCCTTTAGTTCCACCTGTCTGACAGTCTGCTGATGAACAGTGCCACCATGTGGAGGGTTTGGGTTACGGCTTTATTTATCAGCACATGTTTGGACATTTGCGGCCTTTTCTTTGTCCTGAAGAGCAGGACGCAGCATCTCCGCCTACTGCAGGTGATGACACACTTTTTATCTGGAGCAGCAGTTTACAAACGAAGCCACGGCTGATATCTCCTCGTGTGACGCTGAGCAGAACGTCTACCTGGTGAGATGAAGAAGGTCCTCCACAGCTTCTTGTCACGTGTCACGTCTCTGATCTCCCTCGTCATGTTGACGAGTCGCCCTGCCACCGGGGGAACCCTCCGAAAGTCCAGGATCCTGGAAAGACAAGGAAACCGTGGGTGTTTAAACACAGAGGCTTCGCTGACAGATTGAACATGAAACAGTGAAGCGCTGCTGTCAGACTGGAGGAGCAGCTCCAGGTCTCACTGTTTTACACCATGTTTCCAAATTTACTTTTCGCTGAGCAGATGCAGCTACAAGCTCATCGTCTGCTGAGTGCTTCCAGCCAAACAGGAGCTCAAACACTCAGAACCTGTTCGTTTCTCTGGACTTCTTTCACTATTTACGAACAAAACCAGCGAAAACATGGACGGCTCGGAGGTTTGACCACAGCAGCTCCAGTGCAGCAGAAGAGAAAACAGGAACTGTTTCTGCTGCTAAATACACTCATAAAACTCAAAAATAAACTCAACTGAAACGGTCGGTTAGATTTGAAAAGCATCGACTAATCTGTGGCGCGCTTGATGGATTATTGATGTTAAACAGTTGTGAGTGCAGCCTGCGTGCATCAGCATGTTTCAAAGAGTTTTATCTAAATAAAGAGGGTCCAAAGAAAAAGCCAGACATCAGGATAGTCTAATATTTAGCGATTCTCTGTCCAACCTGTCAGCACACGAGTCAATCTCTCTGGTTTCAGCACAACAGCTGCATCAATAATTCATCGTGTTGACGGTGCTTCCTGTCTGATCGACACCAAAATCATCATTTACTGACTTCTAAACAAAACAGAGACAGTAATCTTTTTATCTTCCTTTAACTTCACTCGAATACCCAAAATAATGAGCAGCATGTGCCGAGCTGTGATGGTTTCTACCTCCTGTTTGATTCGGTTAATTCTGCTCTACTGGTCTGAAGCTCCCGTCCTCCCAGCCTCTCCCTGTCTTCACCTCTTAGTCTCTTTTTCTTTTCTTATGCTCCCATGTCAGAACACTACACCTATTCAGGCCCTATTTAGCCCGTCTCACTGTATGTTTGCTGTCCAAATGACCCTGACCCATTTCAGACTAGAGCTAAGCCTCCTGGGAGCAGGCGGACACACAGACGGACCGGCTGAGTGGAACAGAGTTGGCGAAACTTTAGCCTACAGAGGACAGCATTCAGGAGCTGCAAACTGCACCGTCACGTCGGCTCGCCGCGACAAAGGAGTACCTGTGTGTGCGTACCTGCAGCGAAACACACTCCAGCTTTTATTTGTGTGCAGCTATTACACAGCCCTGAGTCACGAGGAGTTCACAACAGATGGTAAGATAGCACGGAGGCAGAGACGGGAAAAAAAACCCTGAGATTTAGAAGCAATTACTGGAAAGCGGCGACGCTTCCTCTTCCCTGAAATCTTCAAACTATTTTGGTACATTTCATCACAACTGTCGAGGAGGAGAACTCGAGTTAAAGAAAGTTCCAGCCGAGCAAAACAACCTCCTACTCCACATTCCTGAGTCGATATGAAGTAATAAACCCACAATAGCTCAGCCTGGCATCCAGAGGCGGCCGCGGTCGGGCAACCGGGCTGTAATTCACGCACGCAACCTAAAAACAAACCGCTCTTTAGGGGGAACCTCCCTGCAGGACTAACACCATGTTCTGGTGGGGGACGAGATATTCCTGCTTGGCTCCATCCTCCTGCCCACACAGACCAAGTCACCTGTCAGCATCATCCCCTCCCCCGAAATCCCAAATTAGCACATTTGACTCTTCTGTTGAGATTTTTATGAGTCTTGTCAGCTCAAGAGCCTCAGAGTCAGAGGATCACGTTCAGATCAGTTTGCTCAGCAGCCGGTGGAGGAGATGATCCCTGCTCTCGGTGTGTTCTCTAATCCCTCATGTGCTAAATCCCATTCCCATTTTCACAATGCAAGTCCATTATGGCACAACTCTGGTCTAGAATGGGGTTCAAGTGTCCTGCATGAGCTGCCATCTCCTCCACCAGCAAACAGGAACACATGCAAAGGGAAATGCTTGATGCTGTTGGTGGGGGAGGGGGGGTGGGAGAACTCACCTGTCCAAGTGAAAAGCAGCGATCTCAGCGTTGTGCCTCTCAAAGTCCGAGAAGTAGAAGAAGTCTGGAGGCGTCTCCTGCTCTCTGGTCTGCCTGAAGGAGACATTAAAGTGACATCAGCATGTGTGTCCAGAACCATTCAGAGGACATCAATGAGTAACACTGATCCTTCAGCAGCATGTTTCTGTCCTCCATCCACTGTGGACTGAAACCTTCTAAAACTGGAGGTGACAGAAGTCGTCTGATTCATCAGGGCGGGGCCACGATCAGAAACAACTGATTTTTCACTTTCACTTTTAATTATGCACCCTTCTGATTTGCGACATCTCTGCTGCTGTCTTTGCAAATCTCTTCAACTTTGATCTAATTATTATTTCTTTGTTTCCTGCAGGGCCAAACTCATCTCAGCATCTGCCTCCTGTTTCTAGGACAGAAGCTGACGCATGAGACCGAAGCCCTCGTGGACCAGGCTGCTGAGGGGAAGCTGGATGAGAGTCTTGCTCACATCTTGCAGTTCCTCGCAGCAAATCGCACACACACACACACACACACACACACACACACACACACACACACCCAGGAGATGTGAATCTCTGCCAGCCGAGCCATGGATCTGAGTCAGGAAATGCTGGGAGCCTCTTTGTGTCTGTCTGGCAGCAGGATATTATTTCTATCAACTTGTACAGACACACCTGACAGTCACCTGCACCTGAACCACACACTCCTCCCTTATCTCTCCTCCTCCCCTCCTCCTCCTCTCCATGTGGACTCCAGGGTGGAGCATTATTTTTTCCTGCCCCTTCTCTCCTTTTCCTGCCGTTTCCTTGAGTGGTGGAACCTCTTAGGACAGAAGACGTCCTGCTCTTCTCTCACATGTCAGGGAAGCAGCCATTTACCCACAAATCAATCGCTGCCGTTGTGATCCGTCCTCTCCCACCCGGAGCGAGGAGGAGGACTGATGGTGCTTTTATTTTTCAGGGTGCAGGGCGGCGGATGAAAGAGAGAGCTGAATAAACACTGGCAAGGTTTTAAAAGGTCACCTCATGAGCCGTGGCACCGGTGACGCACCTTCTTATCCAGATATATAATCAGAGTTAATAAAAAAAAAAGCTCAGGAACACACACACACACACAGCTGCAGGCTTTTACAGCTTTTACTTTAATAAGCCAATCTGCACTGTAAGTCTGAGAGAGAAAGTTGAAATTTCCTTTCATCTCTCGACAGTCTCTCAGGAAATCCTTTGTCTTCAGCTAGAAGCCGCCGTAATGCATCTGCTTCCAAGCTTTTTCCGCCACATATTACATTTCTTCTTCTGGTTTCACTTTCCATCCTGCAGAATGAGCGGCGTAAACCTGACTGACGGGCATTACAGATCTGGTTGCCATGGACACCGAGATGTAAAATGCAATTTCCTGTCGGGGGGGCGGAGGTGGCGGGGGGGGAGGCTGCTTAGAATTTTGAACGGCAGAGTTGTGATGTGAAGAATCGTAACACAAGAATGCACCACAAACACACTCCCCCCCGGCTCTGTCCACACACGACCAGCGAGCGTCCTTGATCATAATAAACGGGCTCCTTATCTGAGGCCTGATTAGGCCGCAGTGTGCAGTTCAGCAGAATCTGTGCGTGTGAAGTGATGAGGCTGAACCGCTGCCTGCGTGGACTCGGTTTGTGCTGACTCGGTTGTTTTAACGCTCTTTCATGAGCTTAAACCTGCACAGCGGAGGGTTATATCAGAGAGTGAGGAGGCTGAGCAGCACAACAGCTGTGGCCCAGACTCTCAGCACACACACACACACTCCTGGCTTCTCTCACACACAAGCAGCCAGACGGACGATGCACGCCGGCGACAGAGAGAGGGCAGCAGAGACAAACCCACGGAGAGGAAATCAATGTGCCGACCGCCTCCAGGTCACCGGTTGGCATTAAAGCGACGAGAGGAAAACACGCCCGTCACATGTGCAACGATGGAACAGGAAGCAGTTTGTTTTGTTTCTCGGCCAGGTGGCGTTTGTTTGTGAGAGCGACAGTCAGGTGTGATTCAGCCTCGTCATCAGCTACAGGTGGAAACACAAACCAACCACGGCTGCAGGCACAATGACTCACACCTGCTCTGTATGCAAGGGTTAAATACCATCCATCCATTATCTA